TGGCCACCCCTTCGCTCACCATCCAGGTGCTCCCGAGTAGGGACCACTTTGCACTTCTTGAAGAACTCGTCCGTCTCCTTGTCCACCACCAGCAGCTTGGCCTCGTCCCCTCCGGCCTTGATGGCGGCCACCACATCTCCGTGGTGCTTGCCTTCCATGCAGACCCCGTTCACCTGGGGGGAGGGGCAGGGGGACAGGGCTCATGGCGGGAGGGACAAACGGGAGCCTCCCTCCCCGGGAGGCTGCAGATTGGGGGCCTGGGCCCCCTTAGGGTCTGCGGAGTCCTGCACGGGGCCAAGGAAACATCCAGACGAGCCTGGGCAAATGGCTGTGCCGGGCTGGCAGCAGGGCCGGCCTCCCGGGACGCGCGTGGTCCGACTTCCAGCTCTAGGCCTTGGTTTTCTCACGTGTAAAACGAGAAGTCTCAGGAGAGCTGATCTTCAGCGCCAAGGCTCTAAGACTGAGATTCCAGGACCTGCCCGAGGCTTGTGGGTCACATTTCCTTTCCCACTGAGCACGGGCAGGGGCCCCCACCTGTGCAGGGCCTCAGACATCCACGGCGAGGCCCCCTGAGCCCAGAGGAGTGGGGGCAGGGGTCTGCCCGGCCACGCACGGCCCCATCCCTCCCTGTCCTCGCTCCAGTCTACTCTGCCTCCCGTCTCTCCCTGCGTCCTCTGTCCCCCTCCACCCCAGCTGTCTGTTTATCCCTGCTTCCATTCTCTCCCCTTCCCTCCTGGAACGTCCCCTCGCTCCCTCCCTGGCCCTCCACCTCTCTCCCCATCCTTCTGGCCACTTTCCTCCTATCCATCCCTGCACCAGACCCCCTTTGCTCCCCCTCCATCTGCCCGGGCCCCTAAAGCCAGGGGCTAACGGAAGCAGATCCTCCGCGGGCCGTCGGGGGTGCGCGAAAGTTACCTCCACGATTCGGTCCTGGGCCCGAAGCCCCGAGGCCTCAGCGGGCGAGTCTGGGTCCACAGCCCTGATGAACTGGCCTGGCCTGGTCTTGTCGCTGTGTAGGTTGAAGCCATAACCGCCGGCGCCCTTCTTCATGGTGCAGAGTCGGGGCCGAAGCTCGGGCTGTGGGGATCAAGGGGGGTCCTCCAGTTCCAGTGTCCCAGACCCCACCTCCTTGACCCATGCTGGACCCTTCCCTGGCCTCGGAGAAGCTGGAGCGAGGCCAACCAGCTTGGCTCCTACACAGCAACTTGAAAGAACACAGGGCTGGCCTCGGGAGAGCTGCGTGAGACCCCACGCGGCCCCGACAACTGTGGGGCCCGGGAGACACCACCCCCACTCGGTCCAAGCCTCCGTTTCTTCTGGCAAACCAGGGGTGGGGGGGCCAGAGGGGCCCTCAAGCCCTCCCTTCTGACCTCCAAGGTTAGTGGTGGTTTTGACGCTCCCTCTTCCCTCATGGCTCAGTACGGGGGTGGCACTTGGTACCCCTCCCAGTATGGCCGGAACCCCTTTGCACACTAGTCTCGGCAGCAGGGAAAGCCAGGCTCTGTTTACCGAAAGCGGTCGGCATGTTTACAGTAAAGCCTTTTCTCAACCCTGCGGGGCCACAACCCCGCGAAACGGAGCTGTGAGGGCCAGGCGGTCACAGCCTGGACAGGACCAGGACCCCCACGGAACCGGAGAGACTGCTGGCCCCTCGGAAGCACGGATGGAGAGGGCCCCTGAAGTGCAGGGCCGGGCAGAGGGAGCCTGGCCGGAGGTGGTCAGGCACAGGCGTTGGGCTTTAGCTCCGGGCCCTCCTGAAGCTTCCGCAGCTGAGCCTAGGACCGCAGCCCCTAAAGCTGACTCCTGGGGCCCCTCCTCCAGCCCCCGGCAGTCTGGGGTGGGGGGGGCTCCCCGTCATCACCAGGTGCAGGGATGAGCCAGCAGGGGTCAAGGCCCTGGCCTGGGTTCCAGCTGCCCTGTTTATTAGGAAATGGCCTGGGGCAAGCAATTTCCTTGTCAGAGCTGTGGGTTCCGTTTATGAGGGTTCTCAGAGCCGCCTGCCATGCCGGTTGCCACGGCCCCAGGTGAGACAAAGGTGGAAACGCTTCACACTCTGCAACCCTGTCCCAAGACTGTCTCATGGTTGTCAGGGCTGGGGAATATCCCATTAAGCTGAGAAGTGAGATTCGGGGGGTGTGGGCAAGGCCGGTTGCTCTGCAACCCCAACCCCCAGCTGGGAGTGGAGGGGCGACGAGGGTTTACAAGCCTCCTGCCCCAACTTGCCAGCCTAGGCCCAGGTGGCAGCTGCCATCTGCAGAGGGAGTTCGGTCCCCACCCTCAGCTCTCAGGGGGCTGGACAGCCGTGCCTGGCCTTCCTCTAAAACGTCTGGGCGGGTCTTTCTGTTTCAGGATGTTGGTAGGGGTGTGGGGCAGCCAAGGCAGGAAGGAGGGGTACAGGCTGGTTCTCGCTCTGGCTGTGTGCACCCTCATCTGGGTCACGGCCAGAGGCAAAGCTCCCCTTCTCCCAAGGTCTCCAAAGCCCGCAGTGACGCTGCCCCCTGCAGCCCCCCCTGCAGCCGGGCACCCCCAGAGCCCTGGGATCTTGTTCTGGGAGTAATGAGGCGCTTCTCCCCTCTCACTAATCCCTCCACCAAGTGCCAGCCCAGCTCTCCCCCAGGCTGAGGGGGCAGGAACAGGTCTGACCAGCTGCTGCCACCAGGGCAGGCTCAGCTTTCTGCCCCAGCCCCACTGGGCCACCTGGGCCCTGAGAACGTGGGGAGGGCCAGGGGGCAGCTCCGATGTCTCTGTCTCTGCCCCTCCCCGCCTCCTCCTGGCGCCCGGCTGGTAACCCACAGCCTGATGCCAGCGGGTTCTGCAGAGGTTCGGCACCGGGGAGCAGGGCGACCTGGGTCCCTTCCCCCACAGTGGGCTGATGGCCAGAGACCCAGGGCCAGACCCGGAGGAGGTCCCTGGCTGCTGCGTGGACAGTGGGGGTC